GAGCTAAGCAAGATGCTACCAAAGTTGTCATGAAAAGTATGCTAAAAAAAGATGAAAAGTATGCTAAAAAAGATGAAGGATGAAGGATGTCCCTTGATTTATGAGGTTTGTTAGTTTATATATTGATGTGTAGAAACAATGCATTGCTCATAACATAATTTCTAATAGATAATTTTTATAGATCGAATACATAAATTGTCCTCTAAACTTTGCGCATAAAAATCTTGCTGCCTCTTATACTTTAAAAATGACATTGTGGCTCCCTAAACTTACTTTTTTTGTAATTTATGCGTGTTTGGCCACGTTAGAAAAGGGGACGTGAAATACATGCATAAAACGAGTGAGTTTCACACATAAAAACATCTTACGTGGCAACCTACTGCTATCTTGTTGCATCCAAACGTCGACGCCTTCGCTTTTTTCCAATAATTTTCTTTTCTCGCCATCTTCTTTCGCCAGAATGGATCAAGAGCAGTCATCGCCCACTCCCAGTAATGTAGATCCATTTATTTGCTTATTCTATTATCAAAATTTCTCAATTCTGTTGAGTTTCTTTCAACCCTTCTGTTTTAGTATTACCAGATCTTGATTTCTTAAAAATATCATCTTGTGCAAACTAAGTTCACCCCAAAAGCTTCGCGTCAACAAAAACCTATACCCACTGTTACCAAATCGTATTGTGCTTTCTATTTTTCTATGTTTTACTTCAACAGTGCTTTCATTTCACCCCTTTATATTTTGGTTCTTCATCTCAGGATAGTTAATTTTTTTAATCTTTAATTTTGATTATGTTTTTCTTCAAAAAAAAAAAAAATCTTGATTATGTTATTTTCTTTTGTGATTATGTAAAAACGAATTGTCTCATTTCCTTTTAGATTCAAAATTAAAGAATATTGCTTTTTGATTAATTAGTCCATCGTCAATCTCATAAAATTTTCCATGTGGTTGTAGCTTTGATATTACGCTTTCTACTCGTCACATGCGACCAAACTATTTCCTTCTTGGTAACAACTTTTCACCTTCTAAAGTAAAGTACTCCTCTGTTTCTCCCCTGTGTTTGCTTTCTTAATTTTTTGGCTTTCTGTTGCTGTTGCTTTTAGTAGTGATGGCGAAGATGAGCATGCTAATCTGGATTGCGATAATCTTGGATTTGGTATGACACAATTGATTACATGTACATGGTCAAATGTTCTAAAGTTGAGATTTTAGATATGGGCGGCGACAATGGCAGAAGCTCTTACTTTTATTACATTGCGAGTCGAGAAGAGAGAGGAGATTTAGTAAGAGAGGCATTTTGGTTAGTCCAGCAAGCTTAGGATTGTGGTGATGGCTTGATGGTGGTTCTTTAAATGGTTTTGTAGATAAGGGTGGTTTTGTGGATAAACGTGGTTTTGATGATAGGTTTTGATTGTTGCAGTGATGGGTGGCGTAGATGCCATTCAATTTCTTTTTTTTTTTTTTTTTTTAAATTTTGATGATCAGGTTTTGATTGTTTGCAGTGGATGGGTGGGTAGGATGCCATTCATTTCTTTTTTTTTTTTTTTTTTTTTTTTTTAAATTTCTTAATAATGTTACAATTGTCAATAATTTTAGTTAGAGACAGAAAAACTAATTAAACCATTAAAGTGACATGGCATTCAGCATAGCACCATAATTGCTATCTGTATTGCCATTAATCCACGTCATGTGCTTGTAATTCACTTAATGATTTTTACTCAGTCTAGGTGTGTCTAGTTTATAAAAAGTAAAATTCAGGAGACCACAGGGTCACTTGGAAATTAAAGGAGACCACAAGATTTTTATACGCAAGACTTTTATACGCAAGTTCAGAGGACAATTTATGTATTCGGTCAAATTATATATATATATATATACACACACACATATACATATATGTATATACATATATAATAAACATGTCACACCTTACCCTACAGTAAGAGATGACATGTCGCTTGTAATTATTTTGATAACGAAACATTATTGCTTGCAAAAATGGAAGAATTATTTTTGAATCATGTCATTATGAACTCCAAGATAAGTATGATAACAAAACATTATTCCTTGCAAAAAGATTTTTAAAAATGTTTATTTAGTTGATCTTATTGATTTGCATAACATTGATGATACATGGTTGATTTGATCTTGGATCTATTTTCATACCGTATATGCACTTATCACTACGCTATACCTTAGTATGTAATATAAAATAGAAAATAAAATCAGCTAAATATATATAAAATCAGCTTAATATAATATATATATATATATATATATATATATATATCTATAATATATATATATTAATTAAAATATAACACGATATATTAGCTACCATATAACATATTGAAAGAAATTCTTCTTTTTTTTCAAAGAAATCAACCATAAAATTAACTATATGCTCAATGCTTTTGCAAAAAGTTAAAAATAAAACAAAATTATAAATAAGACTCTAAAATAATTATTAATTTATTAATTATTATAATAGCTATTTATCTATAATATATAAGATCTATAATATAATTTCAAAAAATAATAAGTTAAGTTAATAGCTAATCCTCACTTTGAAAATTTTTTTATTATTATAAATATTTTTTTATTTTGTAAATGCTTTTGAATTTTTAGTAATATAAATTTTCCATAATATTATAATTTATAGTAAAAAAATAATACAAAATTATATATATAATTAAATTACATTTACTTAAGAAAAATTAATGAGTAAAAATAACATATAACGCATATTTGGGAAAACTAATATATTGTAAATGTGTAATGAATAATGATCGCTTGAATATCTAGCAGCCCATTGCACTATCAATGAATAGGCTCAATAGGGTAGAGATAGAATTTTTTTTAATTTTTTTAGAAAGAGATAGAAATTTTGTTAATATAGAAGGATCGGTCAAATACATAAATACTATCAATGAATAGGCTCAATAGGGTAGAGATAGATTTTTTTTTTTTTAATTTTTTTAGAAAGAGATAGAAATTTTGTTAATATAGAAGGATCAGTCAAATACATAAATTCACTTGTCTATTTATCGTAAGAAATTTTGTATTATTTGAAATTTATGGAAAATCTATTATATTGTTAAAATAATGAATTTTAATAAAATCATGCAGCTATCCACATTAACAATAATAATTTTGAAAATTTTAATTTTTATATGAAAATATTAATTTAATAAGTAGGTACAACTTCGAAATAATAATTTTTATATTTTTCAACTATCTAGTAAGTGTTTGATTTATCAAATTTTGCAAGTTGAAATGTTCAATAAAATAATTTTATAAATTAAAATATGGTGCAAAATTATAAATTAAAGCGTGCAATAAATTAAAATCAAAGATAAAAGTGCCACAAAATTTTTACAATATATAACGGTGGATTTATATATTTGACCAAAATGGACTTTTATAAGTTTTTCCATGTGATAATAACTCATCAACCATGATTACAATATTTTATTGGGTAATACTGATTTGATGATATGTATTGAAACATCATTGTATATGACCAAAAAAGAAATAAAAAACCTGTGGGAAGTATATAAGCCTGTGGGAAGTATATAACCTGTGGGAAGTTACAATAGTTTTATTTCCTGTGGTTCCAAGAATTCAAATGCAACAACCGTCATTTTCGTCATAGATCCACTCAAGTGGTACATAAGCCTATGAATCAAGTATTTAAATTTTAAATTGTAAATATATATTTTAATTTGTCAAAAAATAATTTATTAATTTAATGATTTTGTTTCAATTTAAATTTTTAATTACAATCTAGTTTAATTGATTTCAAGTATCTCAATTATTTATTTGAATCAATGGACATAAATAATACTCAATTGTGCCAAATTAAAAACATAAAAAATAAAAATGGTTGTAAAGTTGGTATATTTAAAGTGCGCTTATAATTTAGTGTATGAATAATCTCGTATATTGGGTGTAGGTATGTGTTATCCACGAGACTTATATATAATGAACATGTGTAACTAGCCTGGTTAACAGAATTTCAAGGAAAAATAGTTGATATTGTCTCTGTAGAGTCTACTTAGACCAAGAGATTTTTAATTTGATTTGGATAAGTCTTTTAACGTGACATAAGAAATGATGATCTCATTGCATTTGTTCATGCATAGCAAATCTAATTTGAATTCCAAGTCTTGAAAAGGTCAAAAAAGTGAAACTTCATTACAAAGTGCAAAACGACTCTAATGTTAATTTTATATGCAGAAAATTCCACAAAAGCGACCTTTTTTTTTTGGACCCACTTCCCTTTCTTTTTTTCTTATATATATATATATATATAACCTAGTGGGTTCTAGAGAAGTAGGAAGTTTGTCTCAAAATATTGTCCACTTTTTTTTTTTTGTATTATAATTAATTTTTAAATTATCTATTATAATCTTATTAAATTTTATCTTATTTTTATTAATTCTCGTTAATTCTTACTTATTATTCCTATACAATAATTATTCATGTTTTAAGGTGGACATAATATGAAAGTTATACAAATAAAAATTGTCCTTCATCTATAATAATTACTATTTTCTTAATATGTGTGAAAATAGAAAGCGAACTATATTTTTGGGACAGATGGAGAATTATTATTAGTTAGTGTAAAAAGGTGTAGAATATTGTCAAAATTAATACTACCTCCGTTTTATAATACTTGTCACATTTGAGAAAATAGTCTGTTTCATAATATTTATCATATTTATGATTTCAAGGAGTAATAAATATTTTTTTTATATTTATCTTTTATATGTGATTAATAATTATTACGTCAAGTTAATTATATTTTAAAAAATTAATATTTAATTAAAAATAATATAATTAATTTAATCAATAATTTATTATAATTTAGATAATTTTAAAGATTTGTTGGTGTGTTTTATGCTTTTAGCGAATTTTTAACCGCACTGCAGCCCAAAAAGAGGGCGTGACGCGTGAAGGAAAAGGGTTAAAGGGGTACCAAAATTAGTATTATCATCGGGACTACAAAATTTCAATTAAATGCTGAAGTAACTGCGCCAAAATTTCCTGGTTTTTTCTCTTGAAACGAACAGATGTGTGAGCGCGTATATACGCATGTATATATATGTGTGCGCTCATGAACATAGACAAATCGTAAGTGTAGAGCAAGAGTTGATAGAATATTTGGTTTTCGCTTAGATTGTAGTTTAAACTTTAGAGAGAGAAGGATGGGAGGGTGTGTATCGGGTGATGTGAAAGGAGGAAAACAAGCCATTGGAGGGGCCCAACAGAGGCCCACAGATCCACCAAACAATGCCGGTCACAATGACGCTGTCGATTTCTTCTACCGTTCTCGTGGCCTCCATCCGCTTTACACCCAAATTGAGGTGTATATGCATACACACATGCGTATTTTATATTTATTTTTTTAGGTGTTTGGATAGTATGTGTGTTGTGAACCCTGAAACATCCCTTTTTCTTTTGTACTGTTTGTACTATGCTTAGCCGCTTCAATTTTGCATTCTTCCTGTTTGTCTTCATGTGGAGATTTTTAGTTTATTATATTAATTTTTTGGTTAGGGTTTTCCCCAATCCTCTGTTTTATATAGTTATTATTCTGAATTAGGTTAATATGGGTTGTTGTGGTTCTGGTTTAGAGAAGGCCGGTACACTCAGAAAAGTAGTAATGTCATTTGTGATGGCCAAATAAGGGGATAGAACATATAGGTGGTAGAACTGTTATCAATTTAATATTTGAAATAGATTGCACTGCAACGAAAATATTAAACATAAAAAAAATGTGAAACATATATAACTAAATATTGAAGCTATTGAAGTTATATGGCCACCAATTTCCTGGCTTCAATTGATTCAGGCATGGTAAATTATTATGGGTAGAGTTGTTTTGACAACAGGACATATATAACTCTGCTGTTGCTGGTACTGTTGAGGTATTTTAGAAAGCTAGTAACTTTGTGTGCTTTGTTGTTTGATTTTCTGTTGAGACTGATCTGAGGATTCTTGTAAGAAAAATTAAAAAAAGGCTTTCTATGATGTACTGGACAAGTCTTGGAATCCCATAATCCTATTGTTTCAGCTTTGTCCCTTTAGTTGTTGGCCAGTTGAGTTGACCAATGTTGCATATATGGTGTAATTTCAATGAAAATGATCCAAAAATGTAATAGCTTTTGGAAGAAGTTTAGCATGCAAGTGGAGAAGTTTGTTTCATTATTATTATTTTTTAATTGATGTCACAATCTTTTTTTTTGCATATTTTTGAACATTGATAATTTCATCTAAACTTTTGTCCCACTTGTTTGAATTAGCTTGCTCATATTAAATTACCCTTGACTTGTACTTCAGATGCTATATTTTATGATTCTGACCTTTTAAATGCTGGTAAAGGTTATGGGAAAGAGCCAAAATTGATTTTTAAATCTCATTTGTTGTAAAAAAGAAAAGCAACTTATTTGTTTACCTTTTTATTGTGTTAGGAACAAAGAACCATTTTGTATGCAAATGAACATTATCAATAGAATTCATTTGTAAATTAATCCCCATGTTTTCTTTGCATTAATATATAAATTTTTTTTGCAAATTCTACCAAGTTTAATCGAAGCTAATTTGTCGTCTTGCTAGTTGAGAAACCATTTGATACTTAAAATATAAAAATCAATTTAGAAGAATTTAGCTAAAGTATAATCAATTATATAGAACTAAAAATGTAGAATTTGAACCTTTACCCTGCTCCTTTATTTCTATTCTTCTTCTTCTTCTTCTATTTTGACTTGATATATGATTTTGTGACCAAAAGAACCTTTACCCTGCTCCTTTATTTCTATTCTTCTTCTTCTTCTTCTATTTTGACTTGATATATGATTTTGTGACCAAATGTAGAATTTGAACCTTTACCCTGCTCCTTTATTTCTATTCTTCTTCTTCTTCTTCTATTTTGACTTGATATATGATTTTGTGACCAAATGTAGAATTTGAACCTTTACCCTGCTCCTTTATTTCTATTCTTCTTCTTCTTCTTCTATTTTGACTTGATATATGATTTTGTGACCAAATGTAGAATTTGAACCTTTACCCTGCTCCTTTATTTCTATTCTTCTTCTTCTTCTTCTATTTTGACTTGATATATGATTTTGTGACCAAATGTAGAATTTGAACCTTTACCCTGCTCCTTTATTTCTATTCTTCTTCTTCTTCTTCTATTTTGACTTGATATATGTATTTCTGGGGTCACAAAATCTCGAGGCTTTCAAAATATTGTTTGTGCTGTGTGATATACATAGTGTTTAAGAGACACGGCTCCATTCCGTGCTGCAACTTCCATCATACATTTGCTTCAGTTTAAGTTTCATCAAATGGATCCATGGCTCTAACTGAACGTTCAATTTTAATTTATATAGTAGCAGGCAGTAGTGTAAAGCAACTTGTTGCAGTATTGTGGAGAAGAACATCTACTTTTGTTAGGTTTAATACATATGACTGAATATAAGAATAGAATCAATTTTGAATAATGGATTTTCACTGAGTTATTCAGAAATGCATATTTTTCGACTGCTAGGCGAACCTCTTCAATACATAACTATAATACCTTATATGGTTCAATAAGCTATATATTACACATTGAAAAATTATGATTTGATGAAGATAATGGCATACCTTTGTGTGGATGATCACATGCATGGCTAAATACTTCTCCTTTGTATTATCTTGTACCTATATGCAATTGTTTTTATTCCTTATAGTATATTCATGTTTTTCATATATGCACTGCAGTTGTTTTTATCAGCTTCAAACTTACTAGATCGTGACATCACATCAAAGGTATGTTTTAGACTGTACCTTAATATGCAATATTATTTCTACTCACTGTTGGTCAGTTTAATCTTTTGGGTTGCTGCTAGATTGCTGTATTGTCCTATCATGTGTCCACCGTCTTTCTTTTGCTCCTCAAATAAATTTGTTTATTTGAATGTATCATTTGCTCCAGTTATCAATCTTCTTTTTAACATCCATTGCCTAATAAGGTAGGAAATTATGGTCTAAATCACATATTATGCTGGTAATAGATGCCAATCTTAAGAGCTGTATGACATCATATTTGTGATCATGGGGGCTCGAGTTTCAAGTGAATGCTAATCCAGCCTTCTTTCCCTTCTCCTTTCCATATGTGTTTAACATAATTGATGTGGTTGACCTTGATCAATATTAAAAAGAAATAGAAAAGGAAAAGGGACGATTGGAAACTCCATTTGCTGTTTATTTTTCTTAAAGAAAGGGAAATCAATATTTGGTGATGCTAGTTGCTATGTGATTTGTACTAAATTATGTTTTCATTGTCACAGAGTGACCCAATGACAGTTGTATATGCAAAGAAAAAGGATGGAAAACTAGAGGAAGTTGGTCGCACTGAAGTCATTTTAAACAACTTGAATCCTTCTTGGATCAAAAAGATTACATTTGCTTATCAGTTTGAGATAGTGCAGCCTCTAGTGTGAGCTTCTCATTCCTGTTCAACTACCAGCTTTACATATGTATTTTTCACTTGCTTTACTGTTGAACTTATGTTATCTGCTTTATGCAGCTTTCACATCTATGATATTGATACCAAATATCACAATTTACCTGTGGAGGTACTTCCTCTCTACATTTGCCTATAATATCAATTCCAGTATGATGATTATTAGGAAGAGTTCCAGAGCAGTTCTTGCATATTAGTTATCCATTAAATTCTAAGATCACACCTTGTAACGTAAAGCTGTATTTCATGGACATTGTAAAGGAAAGACGTACTCAAATCAATTAATGAAATTGAAAATTTGGTTGGTTGAAGTAAAATTACACATGCAAACAATGTCCAGGCAAATGAAAGGGGGAAAAAAGAGGAAAAAGAATGGAAGAAAATAAAGAAGTGAGACCTAGACTTAAAGCACAGATCTTTTTGAGCAGACCTCATGGGATATAGTTTGCAAGAGACTTGAGGGAATCAAAAGAAAGTAAGACGGAAAGTAATCTAATGGTTTAATGCAATTCAAAACTTTTGGTTATCATTAGTTATTTGGACTAATTGGGCAAAAATAAGTCTAATTGTATGTTTCAAGACATTGGGATGCATTTTGCTGAAGGTTAAGTCGATATTTGAACTCTATGTTTATTGCCTTGCAGTCATTGAAGTTGAATGATCAAGAATTTTTGGGAGAAGCCACTTGTGTTCTATCTGAGGTTAGTTAAATTTGATGCCATGTCTGATGCTAGTTAAATTTATTTGAAGTATTTATTGTGAATCATTTATTGGTTTAAGGATCTGGTGATGCATTTCTCTTAGTTATAAATCAAAATTTTCTTTGGGGGCTTCAAGGGACAACTAAATTTTGAACTGTTTCATTGCTCGATTTTGTCTGGAAAGCTTGTGATCTACCTGCATTGGATGACTACTGATGCAGCTAGAAAGGATTTGACTTACGTTTATGATTTTTGGGATCTTACAGAGATTTACGAATTAACATTCGATGTTATATATATATATTTTCCTTCTCCATGCAGATAGTGACGAAACAGAATCGCAAATTAACCCTGAATCTCCATAACAGAAATGGGCAGGAAGCCTTGAGAAATTTTGGTACACTCACTATCCAAGCTGAGGAAACGGTTGCTTCCAGGACTGCTTTTGAATTGACATTCCGTTGTTCCAACCTAGATAACAAAGATGTATTTTCTCTTAGTGTATGTGTTTGAAGCCATTCATGTTCAGAGTTTCACATTTCCTATGTGTAATGCTTTTCTACCATGTTAGATTATCAATTTTTATCCTCTTATTTTCTATGTACAGGACCCTTTCTTAAGAATCTCTAGAGTAGTTGAGAGTGGAGGTTCCATACCAATATGCAAGACTGAGGTGGTTAATGATAATCTCAATCCAGTTTGGAGGCCTCTACATCTGAGCATGCAGCAATTTAAAAGCAAGGCAAGTTTGTTATATATATTTGGTTTACATCTCAGTTAGTTGGTGGACTAGAGGTTGTAGATTTTCTGGAAATATCATTTACTTGTTGAAATAGTTTTTTTCTTTTTCCACTCTGATACAGGCGAACCCACTAGTTATTGAGTGTTTTGATTTTAACAGCAGTGGCAATCACATCCTTATTGGGTAACCTTTTACTTATTTCCTTTGTTGTTTCATTCTTTTGCTTGTCGACAGTCTAGTGGTTATGAACACTGCTGATACTGTAGCTGCTTTTCCCCCTCAGGAAGCTTCAGAAATCAGTGGCTGATCTGGAAAAACTTCATAGAGAAAAATGTGGTGCAAATTTTGTCTTACCATCGCGCCGAGGTCATGAGAAGGTGTTAATTCTTACTTTGGGCAAAATCTATTGTTGTTTGCCACTGCCTACTAATTCTTTGCTTTGCCTTACAGGTTCTGAAAGGTCAGCTGTTTGTGGATCAGTTTCTGGAGAAGGAAGAGTACAGTTTTTTGGATTATATTTCGAGTGGCTTTGAAATAAATTTTATGGTTGCTGTTGACTTTACGGGTAAATAACTTTGAGTTTTCTCATTCAAGTGCATCCTTCTTCCAGTTTCTCCTTGCGAAGACCCTTTTCAGTTTTGCATCTGCGTTTTCATGCTGTTCAACCTTTTTCAGCTTCAAATGGAAATCCTCAAAATCCGGATTCCTTGCACTACATTGATCCTTCAGGCCGCTTGAATTCTTATCAGCAGGTGAGACTAAGCTACCTTGGTGTGATTACATAGGTAGCAGTTGTTTGCTGAAGGTTTAATAAATGCTATTATTTTACCTTAAGAATCATCACTCTCGAAGATATCTTGCACTAATTACCCTTATGACCTAATGATTTATCACTGTATTATTTCCATAATGATAAGAAAGTTAGGATTGTTATTTATTTATTTGTTTTTCTAATGACTTTTTAGGTATATAGTAGTAATTTTACTCATCTCGTTTCTGTTTCTGGGATTGGACTTGCTTTTATATGTACTTGGAAGAAAATATTGTTCATGAATCAATTGGCTAAATCTTTTCGTAGGCTATAATGAAGGTGGGGGAGGTCATACAATTTTATGATTCTGATAGGCGTTTTCCTGCTTGGGGCTTTGGGGGAAGGACACCTGCTGGTACAGTATCACATTGTTTTAACTTGAATGGAAGTCCAAGTGGCTTTGAGGTATAATGTCTGACTGAATAATTGTTGCTTGGAATTTCTGATTGATATTCTCCCATCTCTCTGATTCTGGAGTATGTTATAATGATGCCCCACAAACTGGCACATTTGCTACAAATTGCAGAATCTTACCGATTTTCTTAACTCCATTATTTAAACAGGTTGAGGGGGTTGAACGCATCATGGCTGCTTATGCGACTGCTTTACACAATGTTGCTCTTGCAGGCCCCACTTTATTTAGCCAAGTTATCAACACAGCTGCACAAATTGCGTGTCAGTCTCTATCTGATAGTAACAGCAAGTATTTTGTCTTGCTCATCATAACGGTAATTAAACTATGAGATAGTAATATTAATGTCTTTTGTTTTCCTTTATCCGGATAATAACTGAATTGCCACCTTTTCTAGGATGGAGTCCTTACAGATCTTCAAGAAACTAAAGATGCTTTGGTCAAAGCGTCTGATCTCCCACTATCAATCCTTATTGTTGGAGTTGGAAGTGCAGACTTTACACAAATGGAGGTGTGTCTAGTTATCTTCATGCATCGTTTAGCATATTTCTGTTAACAAACATTTGTCTTACAGATGAGATGCTGCCATTTGCACCTGTTTGAAATCTGTCACTTGATAAATCTAAACCTTCTGCAGATCCTTGATGCTGATAACGGATGCCGATTAGAAAGTTCTACTGGTAGGGTAGCTACCCGAGATATAGTACAATTCATTCCGATGCGAGAAGTGGACAGTGAGTACAAAATTGAATCTCTCTGCCCCTACAAGTTAATTTCAATCAATCTATAGAAAAATACATTAAGCTTGGAAGCAACTATTCTAGCTGAACATAATATTTCTATGGCTTCAATTAACAAGTTGTTTGTGGGGTGGCAGGTGGCCAGATGTCCGTTGTTCAAGCCTTATTGGAAGAGCTGCCTGGACAGTTTTTGTCGTATATGCGGTCTAGATATATCAAACCACTTGCTACAAATGATGTACATGTTATGAGTTTGAACTCAGGTTCCTAGTAAAAAAATTACATTTACATTTTAACTTGCTATTGACTTTTACCCTTCCTCAAAGCATCTCTAGAAGACGCAAGCCCAGCCAGGAGTCACACAAAACACTTTTTATTTTTTAAGAAAATGAAAAAAAATAGGAAGTATAAAAAAGTAACTGCGTTCACTTTTTAATAATAAAAATAAAAAAAACTCATAAAATATATTTTAAAAAATTCTTTTAATGTATATTTATTATTGGTTATTTATAATATAATATCAAGAGTAGCATTAAATGACATAATCTCATCAAACAGATTTTTCTTTTCTCTAAACTAAAGCCCATGCGTTTAACTCGGAATCCCTTCAGCAACTCCATTACCTCCTTCGAATGTGGCCTATCATGCATATTTATTTGTTCGCATAAGGCAGAAACGGCAAATATTCTTTTTATTTTTTATTTTTTGCCTTTTAATACACTTTGCAGGCAACCCCTTACAACCCACTAAGGGATCCAACCTAATACCAAGGTCTCTGGCCTTCCCTTAGATTTAGATTTACTAGAGAACTCTAACTCATGATTTCTCATTTTTTACATGTCAAAAATCAACCAGACTAATATCTGATTGGCCTAGCTTTACCTATTTGGAGCTTGGATACTATCGAAGGAATATGAATATGATAATGTAATCACGGAATCGAAATCATTCCTTTTGGAGTAGGAAGAGAAATAGTATTGCTGGGTCCTAATGATTTTAGACATTCAATGGCACTATAGACATTCTAGCACAAATGTTGCAGAACTGCAAAAAATACCTGATATGGTGTTCTATCTCTACACCCGAAAGATGATATTTTCTCCTCTCTATAATATATATATTTTTCTTCAATAGATTTGCTCAACCTTTGTTTATTTATTTATAATTGTCGTTTAAAAATCTCTCTTGACCGGGTACACTTCACTGTGGATTCTTAAACCCTTTCAATTATTAATATTTTTTAATTTATTCATATTTTCATCCCCGTACAAATACCCTAAAATTCCTTGATTGCATGAGGAGCCAAAGATTAAGATTTGATTGAAATATAATAAAATGCGAAAAAAAATCATAAAAAATACGAAGAATTTTGATTAAAGAATTTTTTATTCTATTATTTGTAGCTTATGCACAATTAATGCATAAGACTTAAATACTGAAGTCTTGCATTATATATCAAAATCCACAAACCTAAACCTGAATTTTCTTGAGTAATAAGTCCAAATACTCAATTGTATTAATTAATACCATAAATCTTGTAATTAACTTGCCATGTATAATAGTAATCCATTGACAGAGGCAGGGGCTCCAAAATTTTTCAAGCTGTTTCCTTCTTTTCAAGCACTATATAATTAAAGTACCCTTAAAATAATTTACTAATCATAAAAAAAAAAAACTAATCAACCATGAGAACAGTACTTTCTTAGCTAATATCAATTTAATTTTAATATTAATACATCACTGCAAATAATAAAAGAAAACTGTAATGACATAAATATTGTCATTCTATTTTAGAACAAAGTAAAACAATAATCCAATTGTACAATGACAACATTTATTATGCAGATATATTTATTAATGGTTCAGCACCCGCAATGAACACTCTTATTCATGTATGAACTTTCTTTTATATATATATATATATATATGGCTTACTTATATTTCCAAATTTAGTTTCTATTTGCATAACTATGGCTCAAGTGTCCACCGTGACTTGCTATGCAAGATTTCGGTGCCATGCCCTTTCCCATATCCAGGTCCATGGCCATGCTTGTGATCGCGAATGTAATCATTCTTATGATCGTCCTTATGGTCATTCTTATGATCGTCCTTATAGTTGTCCTTATTGTCATCCTTTTTCATGTCCTTATGGTCCTTATAGTTGTCCTTATTGTCATCCTTTTTCATGTCCTTATGGTCGTCCTTATGCCTGTCCTTATGGTCGTCCTTATGGTAACGATCGTGATCATGATCGTGACCATTTTTATGATCGTCCTTATGGTCATTCTTATAACCATCCTTATGACCATTCTGATGATTATTCTTATGGTGGTTCTTATCGTCATCCTTTTTCCTGTCCTTATGGTCGTCCTTGTGACTGTCCTGATGGTCGTGCTTGTGGTCGTCCTTATGGTAACGATCGTGATCATGATCGTGACCATTTTTATTCTTATGGTGGTTCTTATCGTCATCCATTTTTTGTGAAAAAAGTTGGGTGATCACGCTTCTGGGATCGTGAAAAATAATAGCCAGTGCAAATGCAATCCTCAATCTGAGGGCTAGGTAACGATTCTAACTTTCCTTTTTTCATTTCTAGTATTCTATCTCTAAACAAATCATTATTTCAATATATGTGGTTCTAGCTCTGCACCTATTATTGTGTAGAGATAATGCACATTAGAGTTTGGCCACCATTGTAAGCACATTCTCCTGTGATTGGTTATATTAGAATTCGCATTATAAAAGAAAAGTATACCACTGATAGAAATATTGTGAGATATATATATTGAAAAAGGTAGTATTGCGGGCGACAAGAAAGAAAAATCAATACAAACACAGCGTTCACGTAAGCACTGACTAAACCGATATTACTGTGATCGCGACTGTTCAAGTCCATAAAGCCCTGTCATCGAATAGGACCAGACGTCTTGTGCTCGTTAGTAATCTCAAGGCGTTCATTTATTGTAAGCTTAATGCCACATATATGGCGCATTAGTACATATATATGTTTTATAATCGTTTATATCCACAGTTCACCTATGCTTAAATAAATAATCAAAATATGGTTGAATATCTTGAATTGACATGGAGAACAGCTGCTCTCAGTCGTAGCAAGAAGTTATTTACGTCAACTACTGACTTTTACATATTTTAAATAATGACACAGCTCTGTGAACGCCACACATTCTAGACTAACAGGCGAACATCAAAATAACAGAGAATTCTTACCTTACGCGTGACTAAGTTTTCTTCATTCATGAATATGCGTGACGACAAGCGTATGTAGAGTGCAAAGATAAGAATAAAGTCTAACAATAATACTAGCTCCATCAAGCGTTAGTATTCTGTTAATTTTAATACCAATAAATCCCCATTTAAAAAACATCCCGCTTTCGACGCATAGTTAGTCATTTCAACACGCTTCCAGGGCCTTTTTTAAATTTTAGGATCTTTTGCCCTTGCTCCAAATGTATTACACTTTATTAAAAATATAATATTCACTATAGCCTAATCAACGGAAATAATCACCCATATCGAATTGAGCGTATAAAAGTCTCGAAAATTGGGCTTAATCAACACTTAAGTCAAAATTATTACTTATTTTGTCACTAAGTAGCTGTTTTGTGAGTTTATTACTCTATTTTCTCTATTTTTCCACACTTTCTAGAGTTATATTAATTTAAAATAGAATACCTTTTTGTGGCCTACCCATTAAAGCCATAAAGGCAACGAAGCGGGTCTTTATTTTAATTTTCTGATATGTACGGCTGATGGAAAAAATTATATAGGATGAGTAATGTTTATAATTTTATGAATTGCAATAATACAAATGAAATAATATTAAACATAGCGATCAGAGTGCTTAACACAATTATTTTATTCCCAACCATGGAACTGCAGGATACGATATTTTAGTTTCAGATGTTGGGTTTACTAAGGTCCGAGATATCATTTATCTCAATGAAATAATATCAAATTATGAATAATTAGTTTGAAATAGAAGCCGACATTTCCAGGCTTGGCTTCCAACGGGCCTGCAAGCTTACCTAACTCCCTTACCTAGAATCGTACTTAATGCAGACCAATTGAAATAACACCAGAAAAAAGCTTTCTTATATATATAAGACTATAGGACCTTAAATAAGTAAAATTGGGGTTAAAGAAGTCACTTTGTTCTATATAAATATAAAATTGGACACTGATCCATTTTGAGACACACACACACGCCCACAAACAATAATCAAGAAATTAGTATACAAGGGTGACAACATTTAATGGTCGACTCTACAAATCGAATGATTATATATATACTCATTATTTTATCGGCATCTGTCCAGTAGTCAACGCAAAACCGATTCCGTCAAATGTAACCATCTTCTTCTCTTAAATAATCTAATGTATTTTATAAAATATAGAATACACATAGAAATAATATTGATTTCGAGGAGATCCTTCCGGGGTTCGGGATTTTCGGCACGTATAAAATACATTTGGCAACTCTGCTCACGTGATTATTTGGGCCAACCCTCACAATCACATCCTCATCGAGTTTTTCCTGGTTTTCTAATAAACAAATAATAATGATGATGTTTCTGCTAATATTAGGTATGGTGACCCACTTAAAAAAGGAGAGCCTACATTTGTGTAAATTTACAAATTGAGGGTTAGAAAAGCCGACTAGGCGACACCAAGAGTTATGAAGCTAATTCTGGCTACATGCCGTGAGTATGGTTTTAAAAGCGCATTTCACCTTTATCCTTTCTAGGATCTTTTTGCGGCATCATGTGGCCATTCTTATTAGCCTCCCACCTTTTCATTCTATCCCCATACCTCCGTAGAGTTACCCATGCTGGTCCATCGGTACGACTGGGGTGTGATAATAGGCTTTGGACGGTGGAATCTGCCTAAACCTCGCACGATTTTAGGTGCAGCTCCATCGATATATAACATTATAACTACCAATGTACAGTCCAAGCGACTAGTAACCATCTTCAAAGGTGTCAAAAATGAATGTAGGCGTGACCCAACAAAGTCGAATTCTGGTTTCGCGGACACCCAGTAACATTTGGGAGAGCACAAATATAACTAAAGCCAAGGTCACTTAGTTAAACATTCCCTATAGTGATTCTTCGCCCTCTTAAGGTGCACCCATCTCTGTTTGCTGTTGATTCACTCTCCACATTCATTCTTGAAGATATTTATATCACCATTCAAAAAAATCTCAAAAAACTCCACTTACGGTTGTCGAGGATCAGCTATTTTCCAAATTCCGTCTACTGGTGAAACAGATGTATTCCGGGGTCCGACATTTTTTATACACCTAAGCGTGTAATTCCCGTGTGTGTGAGTGAAGGAGATAAATGCGATTGCGAAGGGCATGCTTTCCCTTCCAACTATTGTTCTTTCATGTCCTTATGGTCGTCGTTTGATCCATACATTAGTACATAATGTTGGTGACCATTTGCTCATTATGGTGGCCACCGTCACTGTTAATGGTAACAGTTTGTACTCGTTTTTTCGAGACTAATATGCGCATTAATCAGGTAGGTAAGCCCGGATTGGTAATCATTTAGAGAGATTTCGATCCTTTTGGAGTACCAGGTATTTTTACAATATATTCAATTACCCTATAATAATCATTCACTGATAATAGCCAATCACTTATTTAAAAATTCCTGAAAAACCACCCTGAAGAAGAGGTGGAGAGATATAAGGGGTTGCGATATTTATACACTGTAATAAGTGTGGTTCTATCACTTCTCTCGATCCAGTTTACTCTGGAATATCCTAATGTTTCCGATGGAGAGTTAGATAACACACTTTTGTAACAATATTAAAGTGAAAATCTGTCTGCTTCTGGGTGGAGCCTTGTCATATACTGAATGGTCGTCCAAGGGCAAAAAGTAAGGATAGCTTGATGGTCGTTTCCTTTTTCCTGTCCTTATGGTCGTCCTTGTGACTGTCCTGATGGTCGTGCTTGTGGTCGTCCTTATGGTAACGATCGTGATCATGATCGTGACCATTTTTATTCTTATGGTGGTTCTTATCGTCATCCTTTTTCCTGTCCTTATGGTCGTCCTTCAGCCTGTCCTTATGGTCGTGCTTATGCTCGTCCTTATGGTCCTGTATGTGTCCAAACTTCTGCTCCTGCAGATGTTCGTGTTCGTGCCCATACTGCTGCACATGCTGATATCCATGCTTGTATTTCTGCACTTGTGCAATATCTTCTACAACTTGAACAAAGTAATTAGATTAATTAGTATAAATATTAAAATAAAAAAGCCTAATTATTGGAAAACAAGAGAGGAAAGCTAGTTTTTAGTTTTTCTCAAAGACATAACAAAAGCTTAAACATAAACACATAAAAAATGAAAGATAAACATATATTTGATTAGAAGAAGCTGAAAACTCACGGTTTTGAACTGTTTCAGCAAGTTGGCGTGCTAAGACCTCGGACGAGGTGAGAAGAACAGTGGCCAAGACAATGCCCATAAGAAGAAAAAAAGCTTTTGAGAATTCCATTTTTCTTTAGTAACCCAAAACAACAGAAAAAGATATTTGCTCAAGTTTTGGAATAGAAAGTGGAGCTAGCAGCTCCTCTATTTATACAAGAAAATTCGCAAGGACTTGGACTATTGAAGTTCAATAGTCCAGGTTTAGAATTTCGTTTCAGTAATTAATTAGCATGAAATGGATAACTTTCCAAGACTGAGTATAGAGGCAGTAATAGGGCAGTGAAGCTCGTATGTAGTTTCTGTATTTGATTGTAGGAAAAGAAATAAAATTTAAACAAATATGGAAGGAAAGATCTGAATTATGAAGAATTTTGAGAATCCGTCCATGGGAGAATGTTGATTTTATTGTAATTCTGTAACTGATGTTAAAATATTCAAAATGAAATGGTTGAATAGTTTAAAAGTTAGTTATTTAAAATGATGTTAAAGATATTTCTACATACTACCAATTTTTTAGTCATCCAAAATGTTTAAAGAAACGTCTTCTCCACCATTATATGATAGAGTTTTTATATTTTGGTGAGAGTTCATAAAAGGAAATACTATCCTCTATTTAAAAGTCCTTCCCATTTTCTTAACTAGAGAAATGCTGAATTGCTTGTTGAAATATATATTTTTTAACTCCAAATAAATTTGGGATTCATTCTGATTTTTTTTTTTCATATTATATTTTTTTTTCATATTATATATATATATATTATATATAATAATATTATATATAAATATATATATATATATATATATATATATATAAAGTTTGAACGAACGAATAAAGAAAGTTTGAACGACGAATATTGGATTCCTAAAATGTTCCTTCTAAATTTATGGATTGATAAAAAAATATCATTTAGGACTTAATTTTATTGGTTGAAAAAAAATAAAGGTAATTCATTTTGATTAGCTATATTAATTTTCTCTTTGAATCTAGATTTTATTGGATAAAATAATAAGAAATTATAAGGTATATATTAAATAAGGTGGTACATTTTAAATATAGTAAGAATAAAATATCTTTAAGTATTTTAATTTTATTGATTAGAAAAAATAAAAGAATCATTTCTTAATTATGCAGGCTAATAATTGAAATTAATACCTTCCTTAATTGAATAGAGTATTAAATAAAATAAAAATAAATATTACTCAAATAATACCTTCACAATATATTTTTGTTCAATTATTCAAAGAAAAGTTGAAATTCTATGATAATAAGTAGGCTAAAAGAATCCTACTCAAAAAATAAAAATAAAAATAAAAATTAAACTAATGGTAATATAGATGAAGTTATATGAAGAAAAGTTTAAATTTACGTAAACTTAAGTTTATTTAGGAATTTTATTGAAAATAATTAATAACTATATTTACATTATAATATATATCTATAATAATATGGTATAAGCTATATTTTATAGCTATTTGAAATTCTATGAAAGTTGGCCAATTACAAATTATGGATATCAAATATTATTATATTGACAGAAATATCATGAAAATAATTCAATTGGAAATTTTAATTAATATAAAACTTTTTAATTAGAAATTAGGAACTTATTTTACAAAGTTTTAAATTATAATTCAAGTAATTAAACATATATTTTTTAATATAGGTTTTTCCTCTGTTATTCGACAATATGTGTTTAGTAAGACTTTTTAAATAACTTTTTTATTAAATAGAAAATGAAAAGATTGATCAATACAAGAGAAAATATTAACTTTAATTTATTTGATTACTAAATTATTAGATGTACTTAATGCTATCATTTTTTATTTTTTAGATAATATTCAAAATTAAATTAAGTAACAAATTTAAATTAGCTTAAAGATAACAGTGACAAAAAGAATAATGAGTTAAAATTGATAAAATATATGTAAAGTTAAATTGTATATAATTTTTATACTATTTTATTTTATTGTATTTAACGCTTTTATTAGCTAGAAAATAACTATTTAAAAGTCTTCTATTATAACTTCAATAGTAGATCATCAATGATTGAAATTTTTCTTTTTTTTTTTTTTAACTCAAACATATATAAATGAATTTTATTCGATTATAATTGATGAAAATAATAATTTAGATGAAAAATAATGGAGTAAGTATACGAGAAATTTGATTGATTTTCGGCCCAACCTATTCTGTCATATGCTCCATAGACCTGAATTTCCGTCCCGTCTCGTCCCAAAAAATGGGATAGGATTATGATTCCATTTTTTATGTTCCGATATTTTGGGATGGGACCGGAAATTATGTAATTCCCATCCCAACCCGACCCATTCACGCCCCTATTTAATTTTTTTGGTTGATTAATGATATAATGAAGGATAATTTAATTTTATTCTGATTATGAAACTTTTGATTTTGGTTGATTAATAATATTATTAAAGATAATTTAGTCTCATTCTAATTAGAGAGCTTTTAATTTCATTGATAGATTAAAATTATATAATATTATATTTTTATTCTATATATAATACATCGCGACTATTTAACACCTATAAGTTGAAATTCATATCTTCATTTCGCCTTCCGACGGCAAACAAAAATAGGGAAATGTTGACTGCATCAAGATTGTTAACGAAGAGGACAAAAGCCAGCGAGAAAAAAGAAAATCAAAGGCACTTTATTTTCAAAGCCAATTAGGTAATGCCCATATAGTTTATTTGATTTAAATAAAATTTATATTATTTATTTATTTTAAATGTATTTATTTTAATTATTTTAGTTTAATAGACACTCTCAGAAAAAGTGTATATTATAGGAGGTTGATTAGGTGTATCAACGAAAAATATAGATTCTATTTCAAATTAAAGAAGGAAAAAGATAAAGATTGAAAAAGATTGAAAAAATAAGGATTTAACATTATTTGTTTGAAAAAAATGATATTAGGACCATTTAGGGCTTTGTAAATTATAATTATTTTATAAAGTTTTAATATTAGAATATTTTAAGTTTTATGCTAAATTGCTAATTTATTATATTTACTAAAATTTACATATTTTCATTAACATCTTTTATTTCACTCATAATTATTTTATAAAGTTTTAATATTAGAATATTTTAAGTTTTATGCTAAATTGCTAATTTATTATATTTACTAAAATTTACATATTTTCATTAACATCTTTTATTTCACTCATAAATTTTACATAGTCTGAAGGATTTATATTTAACTTAGCTAATTTATAGATTAAACTATTATAATTAGAAATTTAAATCCATTGATAAATTATAAATATATGAGCTTTTATTTCACTCATTAATTTTACATAATTTGAAGGATTTATATTTAGTTTAGCTAATTTATAGGTTAATATATTATAATTAGGAATTTAAATCGACTAAAAAAAATGTGATATTTATAATATTAGAAGAAAGAAAAAAATATATATATATTACCTACCAACCTGAAAATTGCTACCTGACAAATTGCGAATGGAAGGAAATAAGAGCAACTTTACAGCTAATTACTATTTTGTTAAAGCAAAACAAAAGGATAAGATAATATAAGTCTAATAAATGTGCATATAGAAGAAAGATTGATATGGGAGTAAAATATATGACATATATACAATAATAAAACAAAGAAATATATATATCACCTATCAAAACTAAAAACTACTAGCTGACAATTTGCCAATGGAAAGAAACAGCAAAGAGCGACTTTACCATTTGTTGATTTGGAGATATATATATATGTATATATATATATATATTAGATGGTATTTGCCGGGATGATCACTTGTTCGGTTCGAATCAAAATCGAACCAAAATCAAATGTACTATAAATGAATCAAAATCACACCGAAACCATCCAGCGTTTCGAATAGGCATCTTTTGTTGGGATAAATGCTCTGATACCACTTGTTAGATATCAGCTCAGTAATAAACTCCAAGATTGATTAATAATTTATAACACCAACAATAATAACGGGAAAGGCAACCAAAATAATACTAACACAAAACACTAAATATAATTGTATTAATAAGAAGCAGTATTAATAAAACAACATTACAACAATAAGGAAATTATTAAGTTACTTGGGTTGGTTACAAATGAGAAGGAGGGGGTGGTATTTATAGAGGCCTTTCACCTCCTCAATGTACGGCTAAGATTGTTATACAAAAATGGAATGGTCCCTAGATTACAAGAATGAACATTCTACAGTTAGATAGGTCTAGATTACAAGGAACATTCTACAGTTAGATAAGATATTTTCATTGCATCTCATTTGTGGAGAATTGTGGAGTATTCTAGAATGTAGGCTTGAACCTCCAACTTTGGGCTTGGGTTTCCACCTCTAAACTTGAAGCTTGCCAAGTATTTAACTTATTATGGTAGCCCATTTTGGTAGTTGTCTTTTCTTAATTAATCGATGATATTTTAATATCTTTATCTTCATCACCTATGAATTCTTCCTCGGAGACGGCATCCTCCTCATCTCTAAAACCAGGCATAACATCCTCCATCAAAGAGTCACAAAGAACAACACCTTCGAAGGAAACTTTACGTCTCCTATTATCAACAATACGTTCACGCTCCATTTTCGACCCAGGGGTGGCTAGCAGAGGGCATCCCCCCACTCAGAAATTTGTTTATATTTTATATTGCAATAATGTTTTGTGCAATAGAGGTGGTTGAGTCTGAAAGTGGCTTCAAATTTTCACATTGGACCTTGAGTTTGGTGATTGCAGTGTTCATTTTTCGTTGTTTATTTTCAATTCATAATATCTAAACTTTTCTTATGAAATTATTAATTAAAAGTCAATAAAAAACAAACAGTATATATATTGAATTTAAATAATATACATAATTGTTAAATAGTCTCCATCTATTGTTATTGCTAGAATAAAACAATGAGTTTTGTAAGTGATGTGTTCGACGGTTTCGTTATGATTTAATTTAAATTTCCTTGTAAGTAAGATGAGTACTCATTTAAGTCTCATTTTTTCATTTAAAAATAGATATTTTATTCTATTAATTAAATTTTAAATTTATTTTTACAATTTAATTAAAAAATAAAAAGCCAAGTAAAAATTGAATCTAATAAATTTTATATAAGGTTTGGACTTTTGTTAAATAATTTTTAAATTTATTTTTTAAATTTTAATATAAAATAAAATTAAGTCTCAATAGATTTAAATTAATATCCTCTCTTCCCCCAAAACTTAAATCCTAAGTCTGCCGCTGCTTCAACAGAATTCCGCTGCCATTCCGAAGCTTCACTTATTTAGTACTTCGCCAGAGTTGATCGTTTTCTTCAGATAAAACGGGCGACACTTGAGTGCTCCCCATGATATCAAAATCAACTAATAGGTTTCTTTAACCTAGCCTCCTAACCTTAATGAAATCTATTTGGCATTATGAAAATATTTTATTGTTGCATCAATTTTATCATACAAAATGAGAAACGAAGGACATAGTCTTGATGTAGATTTGACTCAATACATAAATTTATTCCTGAACTTTATTACTTTAATCTTATAGTACTTTCAATTTTTCGTTTTTATTAGTTTGACCATTAAATATTTCAACTTATAAAATTACAACCGTTAAACACTTTGTTTTAGAATTATTTTATTAAACACTTTAACTTGTAAAATTAGATCATTTAAATAGTTAAAAAATGTGACCATTATTATTCCAAAAGTTATGCTAACTACACATCAAATTAATATTTTACATATAAAAACTAAAAATCATAAAACAACTATTGCTCTTAATATGGAGAAGTATTTAATATTACCAAAATTTATAAGTTCAAGTGTATGATAGTCATTCATAAAGTCGAGGATACTATAAAGACAAATTTCAAAATTGAGGGGATTAATTATTGTAATACGATGTTGATAATGATGTTGAACAACATTGTCTATGTGAATTATTGTAACAATGAAGTCAAAATTTTTCGAGTTGTTTCCTTCTTTTCAAGCAATATATAATTAAAACACCCCAGAAATAATTTACTCATCATAACAAAAAAAAAAAAAAAAACAGAATAAATTTACTCATCATAACAAAAAAAAAAAAAAGACAAGAAAAGAAACTAATCAACCATGGAACAAATACCAAATTTGATAATATTATAATACCATCACGGGCATATAACAAACAGAAGAATTATGACAATACATATTGTAAAACAATAAATGAACACATTTATTGTGCAATAGATTTAATTATGGTTCAGCCACCACCAGCAATGGACACCTCTTATTCAATGTAATGAACTTTCTTTTATATAATATATATATATATATATATATATATATATATATATATATATATATGGCTAACTTATATCTCAAACTTTAGCTTTTATTTGCATAACTACGGATGCCCTTTCCCATATCCATGTCAATGTCCATGCTTGTCATCGTGATCATGATCATGTTTATTATCACGCTTATGTTCGTTTTTGTGCCCGAGCTAATTATCTTCCTTATGGTCGCGCTTGTGAGCTTCCTTTCGGTCGTGATCGCATTTGTAATCTTTCTTACGGTCATCGTCGCGCTTATGTTCTTCCTTACGGTTGTCGTCGCGCTTGTGATCTTCCTTTCGATCATCGTTGCGCTTATGTTCTTCCTTATGGTCGCGCTTGTGATCTTCCTTTCGATCATGGTTGCGCTTGTGATCTTCCTTACGGTCGTCGTCGCGCTTGTAATCTTCCTCTCGATTGTGGTCGCACTTGTGATCTTCCTTATGGTCGTCGTCGCGCTTGTGATCTTCCTTTCGGTCGTGGTAGCGCTTATCATCCTTACAATCGTCATTGCACTTGTGATCTTCCTTTCGATCGTGGTCGCGCTTGTGATCTTCCTTATGGTCGTCATCGCACTTGTGATCTTCCTTTCGATCATGGTCGCGCTTATGATCTTCCTTACAGTTGTCGTCACGCTTGTGATCTTTCTTACACTCGTCCTTGTGCTCGTTATCTTTCTTACCGGTTTTCTCACATTTGTGGTCTTCCTTGCGATCGTTGCCGCGCTTGTGGTTATTCTCGCGCTTGTGGTCTTCCTTGCAATCGTCATCGCGCTTGTGATCTTCCTTGCAGTCGTTGTCGCGCTTATGGTCTTCCTTGCAGTCATCGTCGCGCTTGTGGTCTTCCTTGCAGTCATCGTCGCGCTTGTGTTGTTCCTTATCGTCATGTTTGTGCCCATACTGCTGCACATGTTGATATTCATGTTCGTATTTGTGCACCTGTGCATTATCTTCTACAAATTGAATAAAATAATTACATTAATTAGTATAAATGTTAACACAAAAATTTAATCGTTGGAAAATGAGAGAGGAAGGCTAGTTTTCAGTTTTTTCAAAGACATAACAAAGGCTTAAGCATAAACACATAACAAATGAAAGATAAATGCATATTTGATTAGAGGAAGCTAAAAACTCACGTTTTTGGACAGTTTCAACAAGTTGGCGAGCTAAGACTTCCGACGAGGTAAGAAAAAAAGTGGCCAAGACAGTGCCGATAAGAAAAAGAAAAGCTTTTGAGAATCTCATTTTTCTTAAGTGACCCAAAACAACAAAAAAGATATTTGCTCAAGTTTTGAATGAGAAAGTGGAGTTAGTCACTCCTCTATTTATACAGAAAGTTTGCAAGGAGATGTAGCAATCAGTGGCTTGAACTATTGGAGTTTAATATAGCTGAAGTTATATAAAGAAAAGTTTAAATTTATGTAAACTTAAGTTTAAATTAGGAATTTTATGGAAAATAATTCATAATTATATTTACGTATGTATAATAATATATGGTTTAGGATATGTATTATAGCTATTTGAAATTCTATGAAAGTTTCCTAAAACAAAAAAGAAAGTTCTATGAAAGTTGGCCAATTACAAATTTTGAATATCAAATATTATTATATTGACTGAAATCATTAATTTTATTTCAATTGGAAATTCTAATTAATATAAAAATTTTTAATTAAAAATTAGGAACTTATTTTACAAAATTTAAATTTTAATTTGAAGATTATTTACTAAAATATTATATTATATTAGCTAAAAGATTATGTATTCACATCCTAACTAGCAAATTTAATGATATTATTGTAGTGACTGAAATATTATTAATTTTTAATTCATTAACGATTTTATAACTATATATTATATTATTTTAACATTACGAATTTATAATAATATAAATTTACTAGGAAGTTTTGTCCTATTCTAGTTAGATATTTAATGTTTTCTACAAATTTTAGTGGGTGAATTTTTGAAAAATTTCTATTTCAATATTTCACAGAAAACATTTACAATTAAGTAGCTAAATCGATAAATTTTTTTCAATCAAGTGTTACCTGCCGGAAACATGAATAAAAATTGTAGGGATCACTTAATGATCAAAATATCGCTGAGTATGACTTGCCGGAAACATGAATAAAAATTGTAGGGATCACTTAATGATCAAAATATCGCTGAGTATGACTTGCCGGAAACATGAATAAAAATTGTAGGGATCACTTAATGATCAAAATATCGCTGAGTATGACTTGCCGGAAACATGAATAAAAATTGTAGGGACCACTTAATGATCAAAATATCGCTGAGTAAACAAAAAACTAGCTTGACACGGTGGATTTGACATGTGAAACATTATAGTGCAAAAAACAAATGGACAAAACTGCCCTTAGTAAAAGAAAAGGCAGCTTTGATCGACAAAATTGCCATCGTTGGTCTATCTCTTTCTTTCTTCTCAGATTCTGAAGAAAGTCTATATTCCAGTTCTGAAGATGAAAATCGGACTATTCTCTCCATCTCTCATTCTCACACTTGTCTTGTTTGTCTTTTCTTTTTCCTTCGTTTGTACAGGTACTCTTCTTTTTTTTGCTGTCACACTTTATAGTACATGCAGTAATATATATAGTAATATATAAATATATATATATAATATATATTATATATTATATAATATATGCAAACACACACACACACACACATAAATATGAGATTGGTGTTCTGGGTGAAGTATGGTTTGATTTTAATTTTCCATTGCTTTTCTAGTAGAAGGGACTTGCAGTTCTTGATCGACATGTCAAACAAAGCTGCCTTTCCTTTTATTAAGGACAGTTTTGTCCATTCGTTTTTTCACTACAATGGTTGACACGTCAAATCCCATGTGTCAATTTTTTTTGTCATCCTTCTCAGCAATATACACAAAAAACTTTGTCTACAGAGAATTCTTTTTACTAAATAGATAATAAGTATATTCAAAATTTTAATCAATAATATTAGGAAGATTCTACTATTAAAAACAATAAAGATAGTGAGTGATAAGTCGAAATCATTTATTAATCCAGCGACTCTTGAAAAGGGACAAAAAGAAGGAAACGATGTATTTATTATTTAAAAAATATTATATATTATTGTTTTTTACATTTATGCATGTATACTATTAAAGCAAATAATTAAAGAAAAAGTATTAAGTCTATCTCATTGTTTTGAAAATCGGATCAGACCGATTGGTTCGACAGGTTTGATTAAAATTGAATTGTAGTTTGATCCGAATTGTATAGAAAAATCGATTGTTCAAAAAATCAGCCTAAACCGGTAAAATTAGATGAAAACCAGCTAAAAACCGGTGAATCGGATTGGTTAAAACCGGTTTAATTCAATTTCTAGGGTTTTCTAGAAAATGTGGGCTTTTTTTTTTTTTAATTCGGGCCTCTTAAAAATTAGTCCCACAAAAATAGTGAAAATATTGATTGTATCGAGATTGTTAAAGAAAAGCCAATGAGAAAAAAGAAAATCAAAGGCACTTCATTTTCAAAGCCAATTAGATATGCCCATATAGTTTATTTAATTTATATAAATTTTATTTTATTATTTATTTAAAATGTATTTATTTTAATTATTCAATGAGAGGTCCGATGACAGAAATAACACTGAAGGCTATAAAATAGGAGGTAAGCCTTTTCTAGTCTCATCAAATTGGTGAAAGTACTTGTGGTTGTAAGGACTCAAATTCAATACTTTTCACTCTTCAGCGTAAGTGAAAATACCAAACAGATACTTGATTGTCTAATTATTTTAATTATTTTAATTTACCAGGGATCAAAAGAAAAAAGTGTATACTATAGGAGGTTGATTAGGTGTATCAAAGAAAAATAAAAATTCTATTCCAAATTAAAAAAGAAAAAGATTCCCATGTAATCAAGCAAGAAGATAGTTTCCAATGAGGAAAGAAGAAGAAAATAACAAATAGCATAAGGAAACGTGACGTCGGGTATCCAAAAAGTTGAAATGCCATCAACTCTCGTTATTGAAAAGTTGAAGAAAATGGTAAAGATAGAAAAAATTGAAAAAAATAAGGATTTAACTTTATTTGTTTGAAAGTAATAATATTAGGACCATTTAGGGCTTTGTGATCAGTAAATTATAATTATTTTAGTAAATTTTTAATTTTGGAATATTTTATGATTTATGCTAATTCGCTAGTTTATTATATTTACTAAAATTTACGTATTTTCATTAATAATGGATTTATTTTGTCAGGAAAATTGCTACCTGACAAATTTGCCAATGGAAAGAAATAAGAGCAACTTTTCCCATTTGCTGGTCTAAAAGTAATTATTATAATTAGAGCCCTTTCCAGCTAATTATTATTTTGTTAAAGCAAAAAAAAAAAAAAAAAAAAAAAAAAAAAACCAGCTAATTATTAATTTTGTTAAAAGCAAAAAAAAAAAATAAAAAAAAAAAAAAAAAAAAGATAATAATAAATCTATAAATGTGCTATATAGACGAAAGATTGATAGTGCGAGTAAAAATAATGACATAATATAATAATAAAGACAGAAATATATATATATATATATATATATATATATATATATATATATATCACCTATCAAAACCGAAAACTATTACCTAACAATTTGTCAATGGAAAGAAACAGCAAAGAATGGTTTCACCGTTTGTTGATTTGGAGAAAATTATTATAATTATTATATATATTAAATGCTTTTTGCCAGATATGGCCACCAATTCGGTTCGATTCAAAACTGAACCGGAATTAAACTATATCGTAAATGAATCAAAATCGTATCAAAAATGTTGGGTATTCCAAGTCATTATCTTTATCTTCATCACCTATGGATTCCTCCTCGAGACGGCATCCTCCTCATTTACAAAACCAGGCATAAAATCATCCATCAACAAGTCACGAAGAACAACACCTTTGAAGGAAACTTGACATCTCCTATTATCAACAGTATATTCACGCTCCATTTTCGAATCCTAATCTTCAACATATTGGCAGGGGTGGCGAACAGGAGGCATCCCCCCTCAAAAATTTGTTTGTATTTTTATATTTACAATAATGTTTTGTGCAATAGAGGTGATTGAATTTGAAAGTGGCTTCAATTTTAGATTGGACCTGAGTTCGACATTAGGTGCTTGTAGTGTTCATTTTTCGTTATTTATTTTCAATTCTTAATATCTAAATTTTTCTTATGTTGTTATTGTCAGAACAAAACAATGAGTTTGTTGGATATTAGCACAGTGATAAACTCCAAGATTGATTAATAATTTATAACACCAATAATAATAATGGAAAAGGCAATCAAAATAATACTAACACAAAATACCAAATATAATTGTATTAATAAGAAGCAAACATTCACAAAGCTTAAGGAAATGATTACTTACTTGGTAGGAAATGATTACTTACTTGGTTTTTTGCTTGGTGTTTGCTTGGTTCTTACAAATGAAGGTGAAAAAAAAGGGTGGTAAATTTATAGGGCATTTCCACCTCCTCAATGTACGGCTAAGAATTTGTCTACAAAAATGGACGGCTTAGATTACATGGAGAATTTCTAGAACTATGTGAACATTTATACAAAATAAATTCTTTTGGGTGGAGTAATGTGGAGTATTTAGAATGGTGGAACTTGACCTCCAACCTTTGGGCTTAAGGCTTTCTCAAGTCTTTGGCTTATTATAGCAGCGCCATTTTTGGTGGTAACTAAATTATTCGGCGAATATTTTTAATACTCTCCCTCAACGATTAAAAATTTCTCTTTTCTTCAATATTCCCATTGGTTGGCGAAAATCTTCAAATATTTATTTGTGTTTAAACTCCTTTGTAAAAATATCAGCTGGTTGATCCTTCGTCTTGATATATTTCATTTTAATCTCTCTTGTAGACATTCCTCTCTGATAAAGTGAATAGTAAAACCTCCACGTGTTTTTTGGTTCTCGGATGAAACAGATTTCAGCCATTTGTATAGCCGAACGATTATCACAAATTAATTGGATAGTCGATGGGTTGATGCAGATCATTCATAAGCTGTGACAACCAAACACTTTCCTGAGCTGCTGTTGCTGCTGCCCGATACTCTGCTTCTGTTGAGGAAAGTGACACTATAGGTTGTCTCTTGCTGCACCAAGAGATTACTCCTGAACCAAGACTAAATGCATAGCCTGTTGTCGAGCGCCGAGTGTAGTGATCTCCTGCATAATCAGCATCGGAATATCCTTCCAACTTGATAATTTCACCTCTCTTATAAAAGATCCCA